TGGACTGTTTAGTTACACAAATAGATACATATTTTGGGATATTAGCTTGATTGGCTTCAGAGTTGGAGTATCATCCTATTGCTGCATTGGTACTCCATAACCGGAAAAATCCATTCTTTTTTTGGGCTGTTGTTGGAACAAAGCAAGAAGCAGAACATAGCAGCCTCATAAGGACTGCATCTAAAGCAGCTCATCTAATTCACCTTTGCCTTATGTATCCTGGTCTTGAATCACTGATCAGGTCAGATAAAATCATGGGCCAAAATGGTCTCACTCACCTTCAAATGTGATAAAAAGCAGACATGCCATAATAGAGATTATTAGTATATTTGAAACCAGTAAGTTATAAACAATATCTGATCTTGCTAGGCTTCTTGAGACAAAATACCACTCATGTTACAACATAAACTTAAGCAATAATTGAAAGTACCACAAACATTTGACTTAAACTCTTAAAATTGGGATACCTCAAGTAAAAGATGCATTTGTTTTCACAATAAACGGAAACGTATTTCATAAACCTAACATTCATATTTAAAACTTTAATAATAAAGGAAAATGCTATATAAGCCAAATTAGAATTTTATTCTAATTCTAAAATTCCTTATCCCCCTCCCCTTAAGAAAAGCAAACATTTTAATATTTTAAATATTAATGCCAAATCCTGACAGTGCATGAATAGGTGAGATAATAGTGGATAAAGCAGTTGGAAAATCTATTTTAAATACTTTATTTCTTAAGTTCAAGGGTTTTTTTTGTTTTGTTTTATTTTGTTTTTTTTTTGTATTTCTCTTTAAGGAAATAAAAATTTAGTTTTCCTGTGCTAGAAAAAAATGCATTCCAACTCAGAGGATTTGAATTTCATATTCATATTTGGTTTCAAATACAGTTGATTGAGCTCCTATGATATATCCAATAATGTATTCATTTCTTTCACATAAATGATTTTTGTTTTAAATTTTCATGTGGAGTAAGGTGAAATGCTCACTCATTTAAAGAAAGAAGAGATACTGATTTTTTTAACTGTGTTTTGCATTTAGGCTGACTATATGAATATACCTTGCTATTGTTATTAAGTGTTTTTGAGTTGGTTTCAGCTCATAGCCACCCTTTACAGGGTTTCCAGGGAAGAGCTAGCAGATTTGAACTGCTGATCTTTTGTGTAGCATTCCAGTGCTTATCCTACAGAGCCATACTTAGAGACAATTAAATCCCATAGGAAAAAAAAAAAAATCTAATGTACTTTTCTGCTTTCTTTAAAAAAAAAAAAAATCCTGTTGTTAAGTGCCATCGAGTCAGTTCCAACTCATACAATCATATGCACAACAGAACAGAACAGTCAATAAAGCCCAAAGTAAACATACTTCTGGTATTCTTTCCTTTCAGCCAAAATCCATCTGATGTCAGCAGTGATATCCCTCTTTCCAAGTCTTATTCTGAATCTGCTTTGAATTTCTGGCAGTTCCCTGTCCGTGTAATGTTGCAACTTTAAAAAATTATCTTCAGCAAAATTTTACTTGTGTGTGATACTGTTATTTAACTAATGGTGCTTGTGTTGTATTGGGTCACCTCTCCTTGGAATGGGCAAAAATATGCATCTCTTCCAATCCGTTGGCCAGATAACTGTCCTCAGAATTTCTTGGCATGGATAACTCAGTGCTATATCAGTTTGTTGAAAAGTTTTTATTTGTATTCCTGGAACCTTGTTTTTCACCAATGTCTTCAGAGCAGCTTGGATTTCTTCCTTCAGTACCATCTACATTTATTACCATTGGTTCTTATATGCTACCTCTTAAAATGGTTGATCTTCAACCATTTCTTTTTGGTATTAATGATTCTGTTTTTTCTTTCCATGTTCTTTGGATGCTTTCTATATTATTCAATATTTACACATAGAATCCTTTAAAACTGCAAGTGGAAGCTTGATTTTTTTTTTTCTTCTTTAGCTCTTTTAACTTGAGAAATGCTGAGCATGTTCTTCCCTTTTTAGTTTTCTAACTCCAGGTCTTTGCACATTTAATTTGTTGTCTCATGCTGGAATTTGGAATTTTCTGTTCAGCCCTTTTATTTCTTCATTTCTTCCATTCTGTTTAGCTTATTTGTGCTCTAGGGAAAATTTAGCAGTGTCTTCTATCATCCATATTAGTCTTTTCTTACTTTCCTGTCTTTTTAGAGACCTTTTCACTTATTAATGTTTGGTATTCTTGATGCACTCCCTCATTTCTTCCTGTCTTTGAATATTAGTATCTGTTGCATCAAAGCTTCCAACATCAGCAACACACAAGCCACCACAATACAGCAAACTGACATGAGTGGTGGTCAACTATAGTGACTTAAAATTTTATTAGTAATAGCTTTTCTGAGATATAATTTAAAAAATGAAACCGTTCAATATCAAAGGAGTAGAGAAGGATCATGTGCCATGGAGTCAGGTTCAACTCACAAAGATCCTGTATAGGGTTTCTGAGCCTGTAAATCTTTATAGGAGCGGAAAGTCTCATCTTTCTCCTGCGAAGCGGCTGGTAGATTTGAATTGCTGACCTTGTAGTTGTAACTCAGGTCATAAGCCACTATGCTACCAGAGTTCGTTTTCAATATCACTGAGACCTGAAAATACCACTGTGACAGAAGATTATGAAGCAAAAGTTCTGTGTGGCTGCTCAATGAATCAGGTGACATTTAAGTGCCACCTAGTGACCCACACTGGAATTGCAATGTCATTAAAATTGCTGTTTCTTGTTTAACCTAATACATTCTGTGATTTTGCTTTTTTAAAAACAATAATAGAAACCTATAACTTTACAGGCAATGAGAAAAATAACACAATAAACATTATGTGATAATTCTACCATAATAGGATTTTTTTTTTTTCCCTGACCCAGTTTGTTGCATTTCCCCTGAGCTCTCTTTCTTAATGTGCTAGAAAAAAAATAGGCATTGGGTCTTTTCATGTTGACCTAAATTATATTTTGTTTCAATTGATTCTGATTTAATTGAGGAATATGAAATTGTGTTTTGGCTTCATTTACATAAAATCCAGTTGCATTCTATACACTCCATGGCATTCTTTCCTATGCATTGCTTCTGTGCTCTTTTAGAACAGCACATGACAATTCATCACATTGTCATTTAACTGAGTTATGATGTCAACAATCTACTGAAATCAACTCAGATTTTTTTCATTGATAAACTCATGTGACTTGAATAATAGATTCACACAAGGACTATTCAAGGACAGACCCCATATCAACTTCATCACAGAATGTAAGATACGGTTTTGGAAGAATCTTTGAAGAGAAGATTTGAAGAGTTCCCTTTGAAGAGAAAGAGAAGCAGCAGAAATAACCAGCATTCCTTCAATAGTTACTATAGGACTGGGACCATGCAAGAGCATCTTTATCTGGGTTCTCTCCTTCTGTATATGTCATTGAAAACTGATAAGATTATTACTGTTAGAAGAAACTGTTGATTATCCCTAAACTTCTGGGTAAAAAGTAAAAGACTGCAATGCTATAAAGGCAGAAAAGGAAGGAGTGTGTTACCACAAGAAGAAACAAGAGGAGGATAGATTTGTAATTTTTCTATATGTGACAACTGGCATTTCATTACTATTTATCAGAAGAACATTGACTGACAAAGGGATAAACAGGGGCGGGGAGGGTGGGGGAGAGTTTTGGAATTAAAATCCTGGCATTGATATAGGCATTGTTCACAAAAATAAAATCAAAATTAAATATAGACTCTATAAATATTATTTTAGCTTATTTCGTTGAACTGGTTTTTAGGTCCTGAATACAGGTAGCTTATCTAGGCTTTTATTTATTTATTTTCTGTTACTCTGTATCTATCATTTTCAAATCAGTCAAGTCCCAGAATTGGAACACTTTTCCAATAGCAATAAGATAAAAACACAGACAACTAATTAGCTAAAGTTAATGCTTTTCTTATTGCATTATCTATGGGTTTCAACTATCCACATTATTTGTGTATTCAGCTGCAACAGATAATCGGTTGTCATGTGCAACAGAAAATTAGGTTTCCAATCACTGAGAAAGCTCAATTGCTGATGCTTTGAGTTTGGGTCATACTTTCCTACAGATGGGCTGTAGGTTTTTTCTATTTCCAGCTTTACCAGCACAAGTTGTTTTTTTGTTTTTGTTTTTTAAGATCATCAGCTTTACTTTCAACCAATCACACAATGTATTTCATCTCAATGATTACTCTCCCCTCTCTGTGATAGCAGTTAACCTGCTTCCACCTCATTGCTTCCCTTTTACATCTTATTTTTCACAAATGAACAAAGCAAAAATATTTTCTGTACATATACAAACTAAACAATGTATATTAATTTAAGTGTCCAAAGGGCACATTTTGCAAGGCAGCTTCCTGCCCACAGGCACCCAGTCTTTCTCAGTCCATGGGCTTAGAGTCTTCAGCTGCTCTCTCTCTATGCCATTGCCTTTGCCATTGTCTCTGCTATCACCACTATCCTGGATAGGATCGCATGCTTCACTCATGCTCTTCCTTCTTGATGATCCTGGGTCATCTGTTTCTGAAGTGAAAGATGAACTATTCCCCCCTTTAAGTTATACATCTTGTATAATTACAGTTGTAACAATTGTGATTAATCCTGATAACAATTACTCATAATTGAATAAAAAAACTCCATCACCATTACACGCTATCCCCTTTCACCAGATCCATCTGAAAAACAGGAAAACTATTAACTGAGGATTCTATCTTACCTCTCTCACTCTGAAACTAAGCACACTCATTAAAGCTTTTAAGCCAGACATTTTGTGCCTTTATAGCCCCCATTTTTGATAGCCAATGTCTAGATTGCCAGTCCCTATCAACCCAGGAAACAAGCTTGATTCTTGATGTGAAGAATCCTCCCATTTTGGTTAGAATTCTGAGCAACTGCATCCATTATCAGAGACCCAGTTCATCAATTGCAGCAATTTATGCTTGCTTGCAGTATCAAATTTCTTTATCTTCATCTACCAGTCCAACTTCAGATCTGCTTTGCTCCACACATATTTTCCTCCTCTCTTTAGAAACATCTTCTCATCAAATCCACTGAATTGTATAGCTGCTTTTACTCCAACATCCAAGATAGACTTAGAAGGATCCTTTCGTCCATTTCTACAGTTTAGAAAACGCATCTAGGAAAGTCATGACAGAAATTGAGATATGTTTATATAATATATACAGAAAATCCAATTTAAGGCTTTAATCCAAAATAATTTCTTATATTCTAATTATTTTAACAAATGTTTATTAAGAACATGTAACAAATACTTTACTAAGGATACTAAATTTATTGGAAACCATCTTTCTACTCAACTAACTCACATTCTAATGAAAGGGGCAGACATAAACACACAATATCAATTAAGTGTATATTAAACAGAAGTATACATATGCTTCACAAGTTTCCATTGGGGGGGTAATCAGAGAAGGCTTTCCCTAAATTTGACATCTAATTTATGTTTTGATATTTGCAAAGTGTAGAGAATAATATTACAAAAGCCTGAGATAGTATGACATGTTTAGGAAATTTGGGGTTGTTGATATTGCTGGAATGAACTAAATACTTCCTTTGAAAAGGGATACAGTGCTAAAAAAGAAGCTGGAAAGGGATACAAGAAGGATATCAAGAAGATTATATGCTTCACTTGAGATCTTGTTTTTCATTCTAAAAGTAAGCACCTTGTAGGAAAGAGCCAGGTCTTTATATTCATTATACATTACTGCGATGCATTGTAAGAGTTCAAGTTATACATATTTTTTAATTAAAAAGTTGTTAAATTGGAAAAAGCACATTTTTAAATTAATTCTATTTATTATAATTTTATGAAAACTATATGGTCTGCTGAGGAACATCGGTCAACATCTCAAGTCAATCATGATAATTTGGATTTCAAATATACATTTTGTTTGAATTCTCCTATCTGGTATGGCACAGTAGGATAACCACTAGACTGCTAACTGTAAGGTCAGTGGTTCAAATCCACCAGCATCTCCTTGAAAACCTGATACAGGGTCTCTATGAGTTGAACCAAAATGATGAAACTTAACAATTACAATGACCTTGTGGAGTCCTGGTGTGGCACTGTAGGATAAAACAATTGACTGCTCACTCCAAGGCTGGCAGTTCAAACCCATTCACTATTCATTGGAAATCCCATTAAAGATCTCTATGATTTGTAACCATCTTCATGGCATTTAATGATAACACCTATGTTGAACTCAGAAACTCATCATTTGCTTTATCTCCTTTCCTTTTATGCTCCATAAAGGAAACTCTTATTGACAAGCAATACAAGTACTCTAAAGTATTATTAATTGGTTTGAAAATTTTAAAATAATACTAAAAGTCACAGTAATCATGTCTCAAAAACAATTAGATCCAAGTCAAATATTGAACTCATGGCTATTGTTGAAACTTATTTCTTAAAAATGGGTCTTTAAATAAAATTATTTGCCCTTTGCTAGAATTGTGAACTAAGGTTTTTATAGATAGAAAAAAAGAGAAGAAAATGAAAATGTGATTTGCTTTTTCAATTTTGAAAAGTGTGGGTTTCCTTTTCCTTTAAATGTAGTGGAATGGCTCTATCAATGGTGTTTGAAAAGGGCCTGCAAGCTGCTCCTCACCCAAGTCTATGTTTATCAGTCAAAAGTTGAGCTGGCAATGTCTGGATTAGTAAAGATAAATAACCAGCTGGAGGAGACACCCTAGCCTCTCACTAGCACTTATCTATTGGAACCCTGTTTTAACGGAACTGAAAAAGTGTTTAGCAGACACAACACTAGAGACCTTCCTGCTCAGCCTGTAGCTCTCAGTGACCTGAGATGCCATTATCAGTTCTGAAATTTTACAGAACACTTTTTCATTTTCTTCTTCAATTTTTTTTTCTAGATAAATAAACCTTTGTTCACATTTCTAGCAAAGATTTTCATGTATACTTTGGAGCCTAACAGGGCATAGGTTAAATTGGGGCCTCTAAACAAGTGTTATTCAACACCTTTAGTCTTCTTTTGGATTCCTGGTGTGGTGCTGTGGATAAGCACTGGACCACAAGGTCGATTTGAACTGCAAAGTCAGCAGTTCCAACTCACCAGCTGCTCCTCAGAAATGTTATGCAGGGTCACTATGAGTCAGAACCAACTTGACGGCACTTAACTAATACTACTAGTAAAAGTCCTGGTGTGGCATGTAGATTAGACTGCTAATGGCAAGGTCTTCAGTTCAAACCCACCAGCCACTCCTCAGAAACCCTGTACAGGGTCTCTATGAGTTTGAACTGACTCGATGGCACTTGGTAACAGCAGCAACAACAACAGCAACTATCTTTTCTAGAGAAGAGAACAGAACAGGTTTTAAAATAAGAGTCACTTGAAAGTTTCCCCTTAGTTCTGTAAAGGAAGTCTATGGAACAAGATACAACCTAAGATGCTGAGGGTCTCTTGGGCGATAAGTAAGCAGCACCTCTAAGATGTAAAATCCTGGAGCCTAATGATGTGAAACAGAATGATCTAGCCAAGGTCCAAGGATAACAAGGTCCAGGACAGAAAAGATCTGGGGTAGTCAGGGCTGAGAATCAGAGTGTAATATGAGTCTGTGTTTTCTGAAGAAGCACTGTGTGAAAGAGCCCAAGGTTTATGTGTGAGGATGAAGTACTTTCAGTTCCCAGCTTAATTAGCACAAATGACTGAGCATGAAACATCAGCCATGAATTAAAGCATCACAGTGCAAACTTGAGTCCCATAAGCCTCTACATCACCCATTACCCAGGATGGAAAATAATCTATGAGATATTTTAGGATGAAGTATCTATATATGTTACAGTGAGAAGAAATAGCCACTATGAATTAATCACATTTTGTTTCCATCTAAAATGTACAATGTAGTTTCTTGTAATGTAAATATCATTCTATAATCCCTGGTCCATAGTATTTGCAAATAGAAAATACATGACCGCCCAGTAGCAACTGAATGGAGATGTCAAATAAATATAATGTGTGATAGGACCTCCTTCCAAAACTAACCTAAGTTAGCAGGGGAACCTCTACCCCAAACTGCTTGATAGAGGGATCTGCTATTCATTTTAGGGTAAATATAACACCCATGGATCTGTAGCCACATGGGGGACAATATTGCATGGTGGTTAATGCACAACATCAGCAAATGCAGAGGACCAGATTCAAGAGTATATCTGTCAGAATACACAGTTCACATTTTGACACATTGATAAAAGGGTTCTATAATATTAATGATAATCATTGACAGAAAAACCAGGAATGCTAGTTAAGACAGATAAACATGTGTGAAATGGTTGTGCATATTATAATTCAACTTTGCTTTTACTATTTAATTTTTAAGTGATCATATTATAATTCATTAGAAATACTCACATATTCATCCAGAATAAGGTAGGAATCTTTCATCTACAAAGAAGAAAGTAAACACAAATTTAGTTTGAAGTATAGTTTTCAGTATGCAAATTCAATTGTCTATCTTCCTAGTCTATCTTGGTCTGTTTGGCATCATAACAGCATGAAAACCTCCGCTGGCTTAATGGTGGCTATGCATGAAGTGTACTGATAGATACTTGGATCTGTGTCTTTTCATAGAAGGTGAGAATCTGATCACTATGGCACTATAGGATAAGCACTGGACTGCTAAACATAAAGTTTAAATCCACCAGCCTCTCATCAGGAACCCTATACAGGGTTGCTATGAGTTGTAACTGACTTTATGGCACGTAAGAAAAGCAATAGTGACAAATGATAATAACCTTCAATGACCTACATGAGTTACAAACTAAAATCCCTTTAATGCTATTATCTGGGATCGACCGAACATCTTTGCATTCTTAGTGTGGTGCTGTAGTAGAAGCACTGAACTGAGATTCAGACCCACCAACTGCTCTTTGAAAACTCTGTACAGAGTTACTATGGGTCGGAATTGACAAGATGGCACTTAACAAAAACAACAGCAGCGTGTCTTCAACTAAGGATTTTAATACTGTGCCAAGCTTTCTTGTAAGGAGCCTGGCAGCAGAAGTGAACTGAGATTGGCTGTTAACCTAAAGGTTAACAGTTTGAACCCACCAACCCTCTTGATGCTAGGAAAACCTAACAAACTATTTCTATAGATTCCCACTGCTGTTGAGTCTAATTCAACTCGTAGAGACTCGTTGTTGTTGTTAAGTGCCCTTGAATCAATTTTGACTCATAGCATCCCTGTACAGGTTTTCTAAGGAGTAGCTGGTTAGGTTGAACTGTTGATCTTGTGGTTCGCAGTCCAGTGTTGATCCTACAGTGTCACACCAGGAGTCTAGAGATCCTATAGGACAGAGTATAAACACCCCATAATGTTTCCAAGCCTCTGTAGATCTATGTCGAAGCAGACTGCTAACCTTTTTGTTAGCAGCTGAGATCTTTAACCACGAAGCCTCCAAGACTCCTTCCATAAAGATTGTGGTTGTTAAGTGCCTTTGAGTTGGTTCAACTCATAGCGACCCTGTATAAGGTTTTCAAGGAGTGACTGGTGAGCTTGAACCACTGACCTTGCGGTTCAAACTGACTTTGCAGTCCAGCGCATTAACCCACAGCACCATACCAGGACTCCTTGGAGTAACCACAGACAAGTATAAAAGAATGGGATTGCTATGGCCCACTGAATCCTTATTTATGGACACTAAAAAGTGAGTTTCATGCAATTTTATTTGATTATGAAATATTATTCCTTGCTTTTGTTATTTCCCCAACCATACTTAGCTTGAAGGTCATATAAAACAATCAGCAGGCTGGATCTGTCCTTTAGGCCATATTTTGCTTACCCCGTGCTTAGCAAATATCTGAAATTTGCTTTCTTAAGTGGATATTGATAGGTGAATGAACAGTATCAGCATTAACATCTGGGAACTTGTTAAAAATGGTTATACTTCACCTCTGATATACTGAATCAGAATCTGCATTTCAACAAGATCCCCAAGTGATTTGGTTACACATTAACATCTGGGAACTTGTTAAAAATGGTTATACTTCACCTCTGATATACTGAATCAGAATCTGCATTTCAACAAGATCCCCAGGTGATTTGGTTACACTTGGGGGTTTCATTTGTACTGGCTAGTACAAGAAACATGGATTTTGAGGTCATCAAGATCCTGGTTTGTACCTCTTTATGTGTTCTGCTTCTGATATTTGCTGTTGTTGTTAACTGCCATCAAGTCAATTCTGACTCATTGCGACCCTGTATAGGCTTTCTAAGGAGCAGCTGGTGGGTTTGAACTACTTACCTGTGGTTTGAAGTCCAGTGCTGATCCTACAGCACCTCACCAGGAGTCCTGATATAAAACTCCTGATGAAAGTTGGGTCACATAATACATAAGCCTCATCCTCATTACAAGTATCTCTATACATGGTTAATAAAATCTAGCTCATAAAATATTTGTAAGATATTTTGTTGTTGTTGTTGAGTGCTGTCAAGTCTGTTGTGACCCTGTAGAGGGTTTCTGTGGATCTACTGATGAGCTTGAACCACCAAGCTTGCTGTTCAACCAATGTTGCAGTCCAGCACATTAACCCACAGTACCACTCAGAATGTGTAAAAGGACTAATAGTTCTAGGTGCAAAGGAAATACTCAATAAATAGTAACAATTATTACAACTTATATTTTCTTTGATCTCACAGTAATTACATAATGAAGTCAGGATTTAAATACTCAAATAAAATGGTGCATAGATATGATAGTTTTTTTCTCCCTCATTCACTTTCTCTTCTTTTGGAAGGCAACAGTCTTTCATTAAGAGATTTTCATATATGTGCTATGCTAACGTTAACTTTCAAATTTCATTAGAGGTCAAAAGCACAAGTAGAAAAATTTCAGTTTTAGAATTTTTAACATTATATAGGTCACATTCTAACACTATATAGGATTTCTAACACTATATAGGTCATATTCTAACATTATACAGGATTTCTAACATTATATAGATCATAAGGGCTTTCTTCCTAGTCTATTTGTTCTGTTTGGCATCATAGTGACGTGAAACCCTCCAGTGTCTTGGTGGTGGCTGTGCATGAAGTATATTCATAAACCCATAGATCAGTGTCGCTTCATAGAAGGTAGCACTGTAGCATATGCATTGGACTGCTAATCATAACATCAGTGGTTCAAAATAACCAGCCACTCCTCAGAAATCTTATATAGGGTTATTATGAATCAGAACCTACTCGATGGCATTTATTAGCAACAACAATATAAGAGGCAAGCATGGGTGGTGCTGTAGGATAAGCACTGGACTGCTAACCACAAGGTCAGCAGTTTAAACCAACCAGCCACTCCTTGAAAGAAAGATGAGGCTTTCTGCTTCAGCAAAGATTTACAACTCCAGAAACCCTATACTGGGTTGCTCGGAGTTGAAGCCAACTCCAAGACACACAACAGTTCCAACACTATAAGTTATAGGGGTTCCAAAAAGTTTTTGGAAACATAGAAGTAAAAGATACTGGGATTTTTCCACAAACTTTTTGAAGCTTCCTTACATACATACCATTAAGCTATTAATAAATTTATGTTAATGATATTATTAATAAATATTAATTTATTCATATCTATCACATATGTTTCCTTCAGTATGGCAGACAGGAATAGGATTTTTTAAAAAACTTTTGATAACATGCCATTGATGCACACACTCTGTCTGTATTAACACCTAGAACACCATAGTTTAAACATGCTTTGGCCAATATTGCTCAACCCATGTATTGTATGAAGATTGTACTAAGATATCAAATAGCTAAAAGATCAGTGTACATTTCTTCTAAATTTTATTCAAATTTTTGAAATTATCCATAGAGATAACTTAAGTAAATAATGTGATAGTGTTGATATTAGTACTAGGTACCATCATTCTTTCTATGTTTTAGGCACTATGTATATGTATATATATATGTATAAGTGGAGTCCTGGTGTGGTGCCATAGGATCATGTGCTGGACTGCAAGGTCACTTCAAAAGTTAAAAGCCACCAACCGCTCCTAAGAAATGCTAAAGAGGATTGTTATGGATCGGAACAGACTCAAAGGCACTTAACGACAATAACATATGTATTTTATGTATACATTCTTTTTTACCTAATGGGAGTATGATGCCAATTAAAAGATATTACAAGTGGAAGATTATAGAACTGATGGTGGACCTCACCTCTGGCTCATAGACTAGTCATTTCATTTCTTCAGGAAACCAAACCAAAACCAAACCCAATCACAGAGTAGAGTCTGACCCAAAGCAACACTATATAGGGTTTCAAAGACAGTAAATCTTTATAGGAGCAGTTAGCCTCATCTTTCATCCAAACTGTTGGTGAGTTTGAATTTCTGACCTTGTAGTTAATAAGTCAACATCTAACCCGCAATAACACCATGTGGATCGCTTCGGGCAAGTGGCAGTCATTTCTCTTTTTGGAGTCAATCTAAATTTGTGATGGTAAAAGAAACAAATTTTGCTTTATACAACCTTCTGGTTAGATTCAGGCACCAAACAGGAAACCTCTTTATGGCGGTCTAAAAATCCTTCAAATTCTTCATCACTAATGACAAATCTTTCTGCTTCTCGCAAAGCATCTTCACCAGAATTTTCACCCTCAATTATTAGGCATTGGAAAACCTGAAAGACAAGTATAGTGTTTTCTTTAAAGTATCTTTCATCATACTTCTCTTAACTTAATTTCCCTTTAATTCAAGCTTCAGTTTCCTTTAATTTAAGCAAAGAAGACTTTGCTTAAATTAACATCCTATAAAGGCACTACTTAGGGCAAATGAGAGCTAACCCTAAAATTCAGCAACATGGAAGTAGAAGCACACACATTCCTAAAATATAAAACTGATCTACAATTTATTTGGTCATGCAATCTCATTTTTTTCAATCTATAAAATAATGGATGTTCACTGAAGGAGTATGGATTATATATATATAAAAAAAAGAATCAAATAAACAAAATCACTTATAATTCTAAAACCAAGAAATAAGTATTTGTAACATTTTGTTGTTTCTTATTATTTTAAATTTATTCTTTAGAATCTGTTTGTTTTACAATTAGAGTATAAGGACAGTTTTCCAAAGCTATTCAATATTCACTTCCAGTATTTTTAAAATGCATAAATATGTGTCTATTCATTTACTATTATTTCATTATAAGTATTAGCAGCATCTGAAGAGGAAAATGCTGAACTAGAGAAAGTAGGTGACTTGTTCAAGATGACAAAAGAGTGATTAGTTATTAGAGTCGAAACAGATCCCAGGTCACCAGGGCTTTATGCAAGGAAATATTCAATGAAGCATATAATTAATGTAGTTTTCAGAATGACTCTAATAGTATTTTAATCAGCTTAGAATTAATTCTAAAACTGCCCTAAACACCATGTTCTTTGTTAACTCTTTATTTATTTCCTTGGTCACTCCTTCTATTGTGAGCTCTCAATTTGTTAGTATATACCATCACTAACCCTTGATTTCATAAATGGCAAACATTTTAATTTTTCTTCTTTCATGACTGTCTTCCCCACTAGACAGTGAGCATCTTGTATTCACAACATTATTTCCATTTTAGACATAAAATAGGAAGTAAAGCATGACAAGGGAGAGATCCAAACAAATTTGAACCACAGCCAACTTGAGTACCAGAGGGATATTTTGAGACAAAAGTTGTGATTGGCTTTGCCTACAATATTTTTTAACAATTCAATAACAATCTTAATGACACAGATTTTATAAAGAAAATACATCCATTATAAATAGTAAGAGTTTTAGGAAGAAATTCATTCATCAAATTTTGAAATAGATATAATTTGGACTAAATGGAAATATTGTCTAAAACATCTCCAAGCACTTAGCATGTCTTTCACATATTCTATAAAGACATCAGTTCTAGTTTTGAGAAAGGGAAACTGAGGAAAAGAAGGTTTAAGAAAATGATCATTTAACACAATTGTAAGAAGGCTATCAGAGTTTCATAGCTGGCCCACTAGGCTCAAAGTTCTTTAAATCACTATCATTTCTGGTTTCACTGAAGAAAGTCTCCCCTGAAAGTTTTCCTACTAAAAGTCAGACAAAACAACACTTTGTACTTACTTTCCAGCGGACAGGGTTGAGCACTCTAATCTGTTCATTCATATCCTCATCCACATTGAATCGATTAATGACAGAATTTATTTTGAAAGCCACTCTATAATCTTTGCACCATTTCCTCAGTTTCTGAAGATTTTCCACATGATTCTTCTTTCCTTGACCACGACCAATAAGAATATTTACTTGTTCATCAAAGCTATCGCAAGAGATAGCAAGAATGTCCAAATATTCACCTAAGGGAAAATGGCAATCTTTTAACTTTTCTATTTAAAAACAAGACTTGTTGAACCAGACAAGGATGCCTTTTAATACCACTCCTATTTAAGATAGTGTTGGAAGTTTTAGTCAGAGTTGTAAGGCAAGATGTTGTTGTTGTTGTTAAGTGCCGTCGAGTCGGTTCCGACCCATAGCGACCCTGTACAGGGTTTCCGAGGGTGTAAATCTTTACGGGAGTAGAAAG